ACAGAGAGCTCCTTGCCCCCATAGTTTTGGAGGAAGTACAAATATAATTTGGTACTGTTGATAAAATTGTAGTTGTAATATTTAAAAGAGCACAATCACATAAACAAATTTTCAAAAATGTCTCACCTAATATACCTGTACCTTTAGAATCAACCATTACTAGTTGGGGTGCCTAGATAATGGATTAATGTTGTACTTATTACTCATTATTTTAAATACTGTGAATAAATTTGTGTTATTGCAAATATGTTAAACTACAATTGTGTGTTTTAAAGTTTCAAAAACACTTTTTTTCAAGTTTGTTCTAGTACAAAAATACATATTTTATAAAATAGTACATATTTCATTGTTTTTCAGCTCATAAAGTTCTAAGCCATTCATGTGGTATTTACAATTTTGATGAGGTTTATTGTGTTCATGTGACCACTTTGGGCATGTATACCTAACCTTCCGGCAATTTTCGAATAGAGAATTAAAAAATTCATATGCTTTGTGGACAAATCTAAACGAGATACACAATTTGTCGATGGTGGAATCGATACTACACTTGTTGCACTTTGGTTTAAGTGTATTAACATAAGTAAATCAGTTAAGGTATATCTCTGCCCGGAAAAAAATGAATAACAAATGTAAACAAAAAAACACATATCATTGTAAAATCAATATATTCATTGCTCTGCTCAGAATCTAAAATATTTATTAATAAACAAATAAAAAATGTATAAGTCTAATCTCAATAATAATAATTCATGTATACAATAGGTAATTTAGGAAGTAATGAATAGGTAAAGAGATATGTATTTTTCAATAAGTTATTTATCAATGTGGTTGTTGCTTGTTGGGTTTATGAAACAAAGTCAAGTTAAGTATTATAAATGTTAAAGATTATAAACAAATACATTTTTTTGTACCTTAGTAGAATAGTGATATGAATTTGTATAATATTGAATTGTACTTGTTGTATAGAATTATTTTATTCAATAGTATAAAATGTATATAAAACATTTTTAAAAGTTTTAATTTATTACTTCATTACTCATTGCCTATTGCTTATTACTTTTTATTTGATTTTTTTTAACTTATCCAATTTTTATTAATAAGATTTAAATGGGAAATGAGCGAGTAACCAAGTTTAAATTGTGCAGAACTTTAAATTTTGAATATTATACTGGTATAAAATGTGCACAGTACAAAACTTTTTTATACCATTATTCAATACACACAGTACTATACAAAGTTTAATACAAGTATAAAATTGTATTTACAACATTTTATGATGCAGTTTGTAGGATAAAATATTAAGAAATATGAATAATTTGATTAAATTTGAGATTCCTTTAACAAAAAAAGGTTTTCATTAGTATAATGTGAGACGCAGCTATACAATGTACAACGTAAATACATGAACTCATATTACACTGAACACATCAACTATTGACCCAAAATTAAATATTAAGTACATGTGATAGGTAGCCATATGTTTGATTATTAGTTGATAATTCTACAAACACCATTTAAGAATGGTGACACGTTAAAATATTCCATGATAAAATATCCCGCGTAACTATCAGTTCAAAATTTAAACCTTTTTATACAAGTTACATATAGATATTAATACAATTATAGAATACAAAAATTAATTAAAAAATATCCTTCAAATATCAGTAAATTATTGACTTTTTGGCTTTTGATAAATTCTAGCATTTTTTAATCAAATAAAAAGTGTTCGCCAAATAATTTAATTAATCAATCGATTTTAATAAATTAAGTTAAATGCTCACGACACGCACTGTAAATAATGGTATAAAATTACACAATATTATACCATTATAAAAATAACAATTAACACACATTCACTTAAGTTAAAGTGCAATTATTACTTCTAATCGCAACTTTCATAATAAAGGTTATGTAATATTATATTTTGTCTGGGATATCTTTACGAATACTTTTGCATATTGAGTTCTTGTACTTATTAAATTTAATTTTCATATGTAACCATATATTGAATGGATATTAGTTTTTATCTCAATAAATTATAAACTATACTTTGTGACTTAATTATGAAACACGGTGTGCCAGGTTACGCTCGCAAATACTGTCTGGCAGTATTTTTCAAGCACTTATAATATGATATATAAATAAATAATTAATAAAACATCACATATTATGTTTTGATCAGAACATATTATTATATTCAAATTCAATATAATTTTTAGTATTTAATTAAAGAATGGTAATATACGATTTACCTAATATTTAAAATATCAGATCATTGACAATGCATAATTTTAAAATCAATACATTTTTCTAATCGATATAGGTCTATCATATAATAAATTTATACGTAATAACTTCTTAGAAAAACAAACTAAAATTAAAAACATAATTTTTTTTGAATATAAAATAAAAGTCAACACATTATATTATTAATTAAACAAAAACAGCAAATTATAATTGTTTTGCAAAAAATTATTCATGAAATATTCCTTTAAAATTTATAGCTATAATTTGTTAATACATCTTTAAAATATTTGTCTTTATTAATGACATAATTTAAAATTGTTTTAGACACATTTCAATTAATTTAATATTATTTTATTTAAGGCAATTTGCTATAAAGGTTTTAATAAAATATTAGATTCAAACAACTAATTGGCACTGTCAAAAAAAAATTATGTTGTAATTTATCATCAATTAATTTATAAATCAGCCAGTCATGTAAGAAATTTTGTTAATTTATGATGATTTCCATCAGAGAAAAGACATGATACAATCAAAACATACCCTGACAATTTAACAAGTTCTTTTGTAACTCACAAAAATTACGTACAAAAGTCTTGAAAAATGTACCTGCAAATTAACATACTTAAACGACAGTTTTTTCTTGTTAAAAAATATTTTCTTGTTTTTAATTGTATAACATTGATTTGCAAGCAATTGTAATGTTAACAACAAATTAATAAATACATTTAAAAAAGAATAAAATGGCTGATTCAGTGAAACTATACAAATGGTATAAACAGAATAATCACAGCAAAACTTACAAACTAGATTAAATATTTACTCAAAATGGTGACACATGGAATAAATTCAAACACTAACAAAATACCTACAAATCAGCAACATTAACATAACAACACAATTTATTATAATCCTATATTACTTAACTATTAATATTAACTTTGTACATTTAGAAAATGAAAGAAAGAAAATAAACAGAGGAATTTTTTGCACTGTTTTGTACTATATCTTTACAAAATCATATTATTAATATATATTTAAAAAAAAGAGGTAGATGGATTAGGAAACAATGATTTACATTGATTACAATAATAATGATAATTAAAATAATATTAAAACTTACTTAAACAAAAAACTATAGATATGAATTAGATAATATTAGCCTAATTTATATAATTTAATTATTCTAAAACTTATCAGAAGTGGAGGTAGTCAATTTGTACTATAGGTCATCATTAAAAATATTACTATATAATTTCTTAAAGTGATGTTTACCTAACAACAATAAAGAATTAACACTTAACGTCACTCTAAATGTGGAATGTCATAACTTATAACAGAATACTGAACAAACATATTACAGATTGTCTGCACCTTAATTTTAGTGCAAAAAATTCCCCAAATAATATCATATATTTCTTTACTAATAAACTTTACTTAAGACACCAAATTGTACTCTGAGTTATGTACCAACACGGTAATCATTTTGTTTCAATTATCACTAAACGAAAAAAAAAAAGATTAATAAATCATATAATAAAATGCTTGTAACAATAATAATATTAATAATAATAATAATAATAATAATAATAATAATAATAATAATAATTAATTATAAAAATAATATGTTATGAATGGCATATCTTACACAAAATAAAGAAGAAAAGTTTAGTGCCACACAACAGTTGGAAATTATGTAATGAAACATTAAAAAAAAATAAACATAACAACCAACCAATTTACCAGTGTAAGACAAACCAAAATAACAAATAAATATGCAAAAAAATTTTGAATCATACAGTTTGTTTAGTGTGTAAAGTGACTGCGAAAATAATGTAGGTATACGTTTTTTAGTTATGAAACAGGCAAAAACATATAATAAAATTCTTAACGGTTTAAATAACAAAATAAATAATAAAACAGCTTAACCTAATAAAAACTATAACATGTGGTATTAAAAATACTTGTACTATCGTTACATTAAAACTACACGAGGCGAAATGGTAAGTATATATTATTGACTTATGTCTCCGCCGCAGTTCGCCTCATTTTATACTTTAATAATATTATTGTTAATATTTTTTTTAAATTTTTTATTTTTATTTTTTTTTTTAAACATAAAATATTTACTTAATTTAAAATTTGTACATTAAGCCGAAACAAGTTATTTAATTAAAGTAGCGATGACGTCTTAATAGAATTATTAAATGTGTCATTGACTACACAAAAATGTAATCAAGAAAAAAAATATATGCCTAAAACAAATTTTTTATATAAAGATGTATGCGAACGACAAGCGCTTTAACATTGATTCCAAATATAAAAATAAATTTCTATTTGGATTTATAATCAAGGTATACATATATAATTTACAATTATTTTAAGTATGCATAATAACACAATAAAAACAAATTCTGGCTTCGATTATATTGTGACTAGTGGAGCAGTATTATATGACTAGTATTAAAAAAAAAATCATTAACGGTTACAATTTGGAAAATGAATGGTACATTTTTGTTTTTAAGATGTTTGAATCGAATTAAAATTTTTATCAGGTACAATATATAATGCAATAATAATAGATTTTAACTAATATGTTAAGTGTTCATCATGTGTAATGCATTCAAAATACAAATTACAACAGTGTTATAAATAAGCATACTGATAATACAAAATAGTGTATTACACTAAAAATATGATATTTTGTTAATAGATTGTTCTAGGCTTTGTCTCTATTTTCTAACAATAATATTTCCTTTTTTTTTTTTTTATATACTTGGAAATTATTCTGACTATAAATGAAACATTACACGCTGTAAATATATTAATTATAAATTAAAATTTTAAATGTTAATTCACGTGTATAGTTTATAATTCAGATGTACTTGAAATAAATTTTTCTTAAAAAATGCAGTATATTTATAATTCAATACCTAAACAATCAAATTTATATCATCGTTTCAAATACTAGATGAGAAGTTATTAAAACCTCAATGTTAAACATGCATTGCTATTATGAGCAATATGAGCTATTCACCTAAAGAATTCATTTAGTCCACTTCAAAATTTAACAATAAAGCTAATAATCCCCCCTTTCCCTCGAGGCAATATTATAAACCCCATTTTTAAACAAGGGCTCGAATTTTTCTAAAATACAAGATTAACAATTAACAACAAAAACCGATTTCAATTACTTATAAAAATGAATACAAATTATATTAAAATGTACCATTCAAAGCCACTTTTTTTTATCAATACACAATAAATGATAAGAGAGCTGCTTAATGACTTAACTAACAGCGTATTACTATAACTTATGGAGACATAAGCAATCCACAGAATCAACATTAACATTTTTAATATTATAAATAATATATTATAAGTTATATTTGAATATATAACGTGTAAAAATCATTGAGGTAAGTTTCACATTGAAGGCGGTGTCATAAAAATGTATTTTCACCTAAAAACTAACACCACCTTCATCAGTCTTAATAGTTGCAGAAGTGTTTATGGTTTACATTTGTACTTTAAAGGCAGTTAGTCTGCAGTTTGCTTATGTACCAGACTATTTTATATTCAACTGGTGGTATGATTAATGCTTAAGGAGAGGTAGATATATTATATATATAGTGTTGGGGAGGGTAAAATATTTGGGAAAGAGGTAGATTTGTTAAGAATTATTGATTGTGATTTGCAGTTTGCGGAAATGTTGGATTTGATTTCACTGCAATTTCTGTTTTGTGTTCTCTGGCGATGTGCCGTCTCACTGTATTATTCCGTGTAAATGTTCGAGCACAAAAAGGGCACGGAACTCGAATTCCTTGATGCCTCTGTCTTATATGAGCTCTAAGATTTGTTTCATAACCATATAATCGTTCACAATAAGGACATTGTAATTTTTTACCTATAAAAAAAAAGTTTATAGTTAATCATTAAATACCATATTAATAGGTAAAATGTAATTTTTTTATAATTATAAGTAGTTAAAAACTTCTGTCTATATTATTTGATTTCTTATTACTTTTAAGCTTTATAAAAAATATCAATAAATTGTATACAAGATATTTTCAACTTATAGTGATATACTGGTTAAATTGAACCATCCCATACCATACACTGTTAAAAGAGAACAATTGTGAATGATGTAATTGGTAAATTGAGAACCACATAACCACGCCAACATTGGGTTATTGGTGGGAGATGAGCACTTCACAGCACTGATAAAAATAGTTCGGCTGATTGATTATTTTACTTTAAGGCAAAGTATATATTTTAATATTAAATTTAAGAGTGAGGGGACTATAAATTATAAATTTATAATAGAATAATAATAAAAAGGCGGACAAGTGGGTAATGTTCTGCTATACAGGAGTTGTCAAGTATGTAATAGGTGTTTTGAATTCTTCAATGATAAATCATTAGATTTAAAAAATTATTCCTGGAAACAGCGTGTTAGTCTAGCATACATTATAGTAATATTGTTTTAGTAATACAAGATAGCTTGATACCAAATTTGGCCAAAAACACGGAATTTGCATAAAATCATTCTCAGAATTATTTATCTTGAAATTGATCACATTTTTTAGAAATGTTTATATTTTTTATAAAGATGTCAATGGTAAACATTGGTAGCGTAAGTAGTATATACATTACCATCAGGAGTTAGAGTTGAAACAACATTTTTATGAGATGTATCTATCTTCCATGAATGATTTGAAGGAGATGGTGGTGTTGTCCCATTATCTGGCGTTTTCCATTCATTGGTCGTATTTGTATTTTGTGGGAATTCCCCAGAATTGGGTGCCGTTGTTGCAGGTTCAGATTTAATTCGCAGATCTGTTTTTTATTATTAATTTTAACATAAATTAGTAGTAACAATGAAAGAGTAAAGAATGTTTAGTTCTGTTTAAGTAAAAATAATTGATTTAAAAACATTACATTTTTATTCAATTAAGTTTATTTTAAGAATAAGAAAAACAACACAAATAGTATACCTTCTCCACAGTTATTAGTAGTCACATTACGGTAATGATGTGATGAAGTAGTAGCGTCTACAGGACCAGAATTATTTGATTGGGGCTGATGAGAATTTTCCAAATGCGCTGATGAATGTGAAGAGTAGGTCAAAGAAAGAGGAGATTCACGTTCCGGTCTGGAACCATCTCTTAAGACAGATGCTCGAACACCAAGTGTATCAGAAACCGGCGTTGTGTTGGGATTGTTATGGTGAGCTCGTTTATTATTTCTTTGGGGGTCAGGTGATGAAGGATGCTGTTCAGAATGCACAGTTGTTTGACGATAATGACATGTTATATATGGGAGCGGACTAAATGAGGTAGAGGGAAGTTGAGCTTCTGCGGATCCATTTTGTTTTGGTCTTGGAGAATCATTTGTTGTTTTATTTTCACTATTACCTTGTTCACGCTGACTTGTGAGTGACAATTTGTCATACTCAAATGACAGGCCTTTAACCTAATTAACATTTCAAAATACATAGTTATATTGTATTGTATGAAATTGAAATATCAAAAAAATAAAAAAATAAAACATGTTGTCAATAATATTTGTTCTTTTTTTTATAGGGTTCTAGGTATATGTATATATATAATATATATATTTATATATACATATGTGTATATTAAATAAACAAAAAAAACTATAAAATAATAACAGCATGTATAAAAATTCCATGCTATTTATCTTTATCCAATAAAAAAATACACACTATATTTATGTGATCTGATAACGAAAAAACATAAACATTTAAATAGTTAAGATTATTTTTAACAATAACTGTTATTATGTATAAATATATTTGTATGAATGTGATTTTAAATAGAAAAATAAAATGTTCAATTATTAGTAATTTTATAATGATGGTAAACGGTAGTAAACTATGAAGCAAGTTAAACATTACTTTGTTGATAGTAATAAGTTTTTAATAATTATATAAACCACTTTAATTCATAAAAATGTATTTATTTTGATATACCTACCATTACAATAACAATGGAAAATCTTATAGAATTTTAGAACAAAATGATCAATTTTACCTGTAAATTGTCTGCTGTCTTTAAAAAACTAGAGAGCCTCTCTTGAGATATTTGTACTTCCCCACGGTACATGAACTCAAGTAACGATGCCATATTTGTAGACGATGTCCCATCAAGTATGACAATTAAACTTGATCCTAGTGGAGTAGCTTCAAATATTTCTTGAAAATGTTTACTGCATGCTGCCAGAATTAGTTTGTGAGCTTTGAATGTTTTGCCTGATAAAATAAAATAAATATTTACTTCAACATATACTTAATAATTTCTTCATAATATATTTTAATAGGCAATACATTAAGTAGGTACTTCCTCCAATCATACTACAGCAGAACTTTGATAGTCCGGACAAATTTTTAATTATTATTATCCAGATTAGCAATTTGTATAGAATACTTGATATCTTTGAAGAATAGATCAATGACTAAAAATTTTTTTGTCTATAAAAATCATTAATTTTTTTTTGAGTAATGCACTCACTCATCTTTAATTAAAAAAAAAAAATGTTTAACGTTACATACAGTAGGTACAGCAGTAATTATGAAATGGAGAGGAGAGGTCTTAAATAATGACATTGTTACTATTAAGAATGTGTTGTAAACAAAGTCTTTCTGCCATACCAACATACACGTCAACAGTTCCAAATTTTGTGTTAGCTTTAATATTATAGTGAATTTACCTATAATAAAACTTAAAGGTAAAAACATAATCTGAGTTCAATCGTTAGGGTTTTAAAATATTTTAGTTTTCAAACAAGTTATGATTATTTACAATTATGTAATATATAACTTGTTAAAAAATTTAAATATTGTAGAAAAACCATTATTAGACCACATATAATGTTCTTACCTTAAAGCTTTATAATACATTAATTTACTTTAATATGAAGGTAACAATACATAATTAGAACTGCCAAACGTATACATTGTGGTATGTTATGTTTATGTGTTAGTAAAATAGAGACAACACACGTAAGCGGGTACAATGTACTCTTAATGGATTAACGTTCCATTAGAACTACTGTGAGTTGTGTTCATCGGACTATTGAGGTTCTACTGCAGTAGGTTTATATTACACATATTTTATATTACCTTCACAAAACAATGACACATCTGTTAAACTTTCCGATTTGAAAAGGTTATCAAATGCAGTTACAAGGTTGCTACTGAAACTATTCCACTTAAGACAGAACTGTTGCTGAGGGTCCATTCCAGATTGTTGTTGTGACAATATTTAAAAAGACATATCAGTGACCCTGTAAAAATAAAAAGTACATAAATTTATAGCAACATTTAGACAGTAACTTTCAAGTTAATGGTAAAAAATGAAATACCTAATTAAAATTTTAAAAAAAATTGTCTATTGTCTGATAAAATTACATAGGTAAAATATCAAATGTTTCTCGGCAGTTGAACTTCCTTATGATTAAATATTATGTAACTACCTATGATAACAAAATCAAGATAAGTTTCTAACATTTAATTTTCAAAATTATAAGCATTAATTTATTTTAGTGCAATTGAAAAGCAATTAAAATTCAAAGTTATAAACATTTTTGGAAATATTAATTAAATTTACTTCTCTGGAAGAACAAAGACAATGTATTAAAATAAAATAAATGTTCAATGAACTATGTCCTCGACTATGTCAAAGCATTAATTCTAGTTAATAATTAACTAACTAACTACCTACATTTTTTGTAAATTAATTGATTGAACAATTTTTCTCATAGTACAGTCTTAAAATAACAAAAGAATAAATAACCGCATAGATATGTAGAAGGAATGTAAGAATTTTTAATAAAAGTAAAAGAAAAAGGGTGAACAATTATTTATACTTAATAGATACCTGAACTAGTTTTCTGGTTAATACAAACAAAAAAGTAATTAAGGAGGAGTTGATATTTTATGTCTACAATTAGAAAACAATTTAGAAATAAAGTTGTTTCTTTTAATATAAATTTTATTTTATGTGTTGAGAATTAAAATGAAAAAAATTTACAGGGTAAAGACACTCATTCCATATTGCTCACCACAATATAAATACAAAATGAAAATAGTATTATAATTTTGAATTTGAAATTGAAAGAATCTATTAATGTATTTATCACTTGATGCACTAATTCTGAAAATAATCTTTGCAGAGCTAATTTATTCACCTACAAGTACACATTATAAATTATAATCTAAAAGTATAAAACGTGTTATACAAAAAATAATAATAATAAAATAATAGCACTTTTAGTTTAAGTGACCTATCAGATGTAGATCATTGATAGTACCTATTCATTTAACTGCTTTTAAATTGTACCTGTATCAAATTTTCAATTTATAGAGTAATACAATGCTCTTGAGACATATATTCTACTTTGAAATTTGAATGGTCATGACTGATAAGTACCTCATAACATGTAAAACCAAATTATCTAACAATCATGAGATTTTTTCAAAATTAAATGATTTTTTTAGTAATCTGTTTTTCTTTGAAATCAAATTATAAAGAAAAAATGTACTGTGGTTATAATTACCTACCTATAATCTATATCATGTATAATAAAGAATTGGATATTTAAAATGAGAAAATGAAGTTATTAAATTATGAAAACTAAAACTATTTATTAAAATCATATAAATAATATGTTTGCACCTACTATGACCTACTCTATTAAATAATACATAGGGTTGTTAAAAATATTCATTGAAATCATTCGTTAGACAAATTTATTGAGTAATAACTAAAGTATATTGAAACTCTGATAAAAATATTGTACATAATAGGTACCTATTATTACATTTATGCATACAAGCAAAAAATATTTACAGGCGCATATTTCTGTCTATCATTTATTATATCAGATTACGTCTGGTTTGATTATTACAATAGCATGGTAAACAAATTTAAGTGTTTATGTGTGATATTTTGATAGAAATGTTGTTTTAATAATTAACTCTAGCATTAAGTAGCATGGCAAATTATAAAATTTGTAATGTTTCAATTTAGAACTGTAAAATTCATGGATATTAACTATATAATGATGACCTATGCAGATAGTTATATACTCGCTTTAATTTATTAGCAGTCAAAAGATTATGTTTGTTAACATTTATCATTGTTTAATGTTATTTATGAATATATGAATATGTGTAAATCAAGATCAAAATTATACAAAAATTAATACTAGAAAAAAAAATGTTGTAGCTTTGTTTTCAATTAATGCCTGTCTGCAATCAAATAAAATAAAATAAATTATAATATACCTACTTATAAAAGTTATGGTAGAATACTTAATATTTAGAAGATAATTATTCAAGTGAACTATTTAAGTTGGATGTATTTTAAAGTACTATGTATAACTAGAAAAGGTAATCTCATTATAAATAAAATAAGACCTAATTATGAAACTAATATAATGGATATAGAACCAATATTGAATAAAGAAGATTTATTTTAGGTACACGAGAAGACATTCAACAATAACAAATACAAAACAAGTTTGGTAGGTAAATAAATTGAGAAAATTTTCACATATACTTATATATATATATATATATATATATTATTTCAACAGCTAGAAGTAATAGATAGATAGCCGATTAAAATCATTGTTGAAAATATTATGTATTATTGAATGCAAGATATAAATTATCATATTCTTGAATAACATTGACCTGTTTTGGCTATATTTACCATTAGTATGTTTATAATTCTATTAGCTAGGTAGGTACCTATAGAAATTAGATATTATGGAGATGTGATCTGCTATACCTACATAATTTTATTTACTGAAAAGTTTTGTTACTATTGTTATATCTTATATATGGCAGTAACAAAGCACAAAAAAACGTTTCTTCAGTTATTATATTATTATCATTGCTCTAGTGTAGGTTTTTCATGATAGTAACGATTTTGTGAAAAATTAAGAGTGTATTGACTGTTGTCAATCTAATTTAGTTATAGGTATGCTAATAAGAAATTATTAGATAATTATTAATTATTGACACCATAATAGGTATAGGTCATAGGTAACTCATAATATTTATAAACTATCCAAATTTTATAATTAATTGATTAGTATTATACCTGTGACATAATGTACCTACCTATTATTGATAAAAATAATTAATTCTTATTTAATTGGCAGCTTAACACAGATTAATAACTATATTAGTCGATGAGCAACTAATAAACTAATATTTAGTTTTAAGAACGTAATGCATAACATTAAACTCGAAATTAACTAATTATTAGTAAGTTAAGAGTATGTATCGGTCAATGATAATATGAATATATCCGATACAAATTGAAAACATAATATGTTAATATTAAATAGTATTTACAAACAGATCTCAGATACTACCTATTACAAGTTTAGTAATTACTCATTATGCTTATTTATTGCAAAAATGATTTCTATAGGTAAAGATATAAAAAAGAATACCTATTTATTAAAAAAAATTGGTTTTACTACTGTTAGATATTATTATAATATTATAGATTACCTTAACTACCTAAATGAAATGTACCCAGTGGGAAACTTAATTCAGAAAATTATAATTTTTTAGATAGATTATTTGGCCTACATTAATTTTAAATTTACTATGGATCATATACCAAATAATTATAACAACCTATATTAAGTCACATTAATATTTTATATAGTACATAAAATTACATATCAATAAATCAATGAATGTTTGACTATAATGCACTAATTCACAATACATTATTATAAATACTATTGTACATAATATATGCTCAGAATTTATTTAGACGTAGGTATGTACTCTAACTTTTGCTCTACTTTTCCAGGCATGATAAATAATCCCAGTCCGCACATGAACGTATCTAACAGTTTCTGCCTACCTAACTGAAATCTTATAGCCAACAACACCAGGCAGATTTACATCCAGGTGATTTCTACGACTGGAAATAACAAATTGTTATACCTCATAGCGTCGAGTTTTAAAAATCCCAGACTTCCCAGTGGGTTATCCATAGTATTATTATTGTCGGGAGCAACACACGTGCAGACTTACCAATTAGCAGGCTGTGGCACGGCGGACGATTCCGTCATACATTCATGGCATCGAGGTGGTAGACCCCCAGTCGTTGAGTCTTCAGGTCTGCGCATACACACACATAGAGAGAGGAAGAGAGATATAGTGAGTAAATACAAATTATTTTACATTCAAAGACAACACCGGGTCACGTAAGTGGGTACAGTGAGCTGGTTAGATTTTCACCTTGCAGCGGCGGCGGCGGCGCGATAAGAGGGTCGGGGCGGCCGCGTTCGAGGGAGGGTTATTTTCGTCGCGAATTTCAACGGTTTGAACGGTGTATGTCGCAGTGACGGCGCGGAATGACATCAGTCGCGGACGACATCAGCTGCTGGCCGCGATGATGTTCGGGGCAGTGGTGCAATTGCAAACATTTGCATAGCGCACGGATGACCGTGAAAACGTCGTCGTCGTCGTCGAGAGCGCCCGCGCGTGTGTGTGTGCAAGTGTGCAGCAGCGGCAACCACCTACTACCACAGCGGTCGAGCGGTGCGAGTTATCTGGTCGTGGTCACGAGCCCAATGTGCCAGCCAGCGGTGAGGGGCGCCAGCGTCTGCGAACGGAAGCGAATTGAAGCGACGACGGCGGCGGCGGCGGCGGCGGCGTCAAGCGATTTGCACGCGGTTGACGGGTCGTCCGTCGACAGCAACGACGTCGTCGTCGTCGTCGGCTGCGGCTACGACCGGTGGGTGGGTGGCCGGGGGTGTTTTTCGGACGGGGGTGAGAAACGTCCGGTTTCCAAACGTCTCTCGCTCGTCCGTTATAAAATACGAGTATGATAATATTATTATTATTATTATTATTATTATTGTTAAGTTTATTAAAATGTGATAGTAGGCTGATACTGGACTCGCGATTTATCGCGTAGGTGGATGATATTATTTTGCACATACACACACACACGCGCGCGCACGGACGACGTGGTAACTCGTCGCCGATTGAGAAAAATTGATAAAAAAAATTAAAAATTGATAAAAGAAATACGACGATAAAAACTAGGTGTTTTGATAAAAAAAAAAAAAATATGAAAATGGTTAAAAAAATATTCGCGAATCGCTGCGAGGTGAAGGCGATCTGAGGCTCGTATGCTGGGTCGTCTGTTAGTTAGTTTGTTGTTGTTGTCGTTGTTGTTGTTGATGGTTATTACCTTGGAGCAGCGAGTGACTCTCCCCGCGAGTGTTGTTAGCGGAAAAATTGTTACAAATTGATCGGCACGATGGACGTGAGTGAAAAAAAAATTGCAATCTCGCGATTGGGGGAGCAAAAAAAAAAAACGCACTCGCTCTGCGTACGCACACACATGCACACACACACTCACACAGACGGATAAAAAAACGCGCGCACACACGTTCATTCACACACACACACACACGCGCGCGACGCACACTCGCAGAACGGCAGCAGCGGACCGGAAGGCAAAAATGGCATAATGCAGTAGGTCAAACTGACGAGTCGCGAAGTTTCGCGCTGACGTTTTTGCATCGGGTAAAATCGCACTAACCGCGAGCGTGCGCACTGTGCGAATACTGCGGCGCCGCCGCCTGCCGCCTGCCACCGTCGCCGTCGCGTTCGTCGCCGCCGCCGCTTCCCCGCCGCGCCGGTCGCGCTCGAACGTCCACCACCGCCGTCGCCGCTCGGTTGCGTTCGCGCGGGTCTGCTGGCTATCCCGCACCGCCACCCGTCCGCCGCGCGGTCGCGGTGACGCAAGGGTCGTGGCCGCCGCCGGGACGTGATTTTCGCTCTCCGTTTTGTTACCCCTCGCGCGTATCGACCACGGCCGCCGCCGCCGCCGCCCGCCAAACGACACGGCGCGCGCAGTCGGGTCGGCCGACCTCGGCCGCCGTCGACGCACTGAGTGTATGACGGCCGCCGACCGTAGTCCCGGTTGGCGGGGGAGGGGGATGGGTGATGGGCCGGGGACGGGCTGGGGGGAACGTGCACGGTGTTGCAGCGCCCATACACGTTGCAACACTGCGTTCGACCTTATATGCTGTTGTAGCCTGCTGCTGTCGTAGTGCTATTGCTATGCGTCGTATTGCGGAGCAGCGGCGACCGGTGGCCTTCGGCTGCCCGCCGACACGCCGCTCGAGAGAGATCGGAATCGCGCGCGCGAAGGTTTTTTTCGTTGTACGACTGTTAACGTACCATACCGGGTGATCCATTTCAATATTTCGCGCACGGCGCTATGGTTATTTCAAAAAATCCAAAATCGTTATTTTGAAAAATATACTATTCATTTTACACGATCGATACAAGATGTCAAAAAACAATTTTTTACGCTTTTTTACCATACCGGTATTGTTTTCCAATTTTTTCAAATTTTTCAATTCCGAGCACTCCAGAGAACTACGTATTTTTTGCACTACTTTTATAACAATAGTATACGATTCGAATTTCGGACGAGAATAGTTTTTGCATTTTAAAGAGTTACAATTAGAGTAGATCTTTTTCGAAGTCCAGTCGAGCAGAGCAGTGAAATGGCTTATGAAGTACCTAATTTAAACTTTATAACTGCCTACTCGTCTGAAATTCGATTTTTGTGGATCGTAACACTCCGCGAACGCTCAGGAAACCAAAACTCTCCGTTCAAACGAATGAAACACGTGGTTGAAAAATATCAAAAATGTATAGTTTTTTGTTCAAAAACTGAAAAAAAAACTTCGCCCAAATATTCGCGAGGCTCGAGCTTGTAACACACCGCACGAAAAACAAGAGCACCTAATTTCAAAAACTTTGCACATTTTTCTGAAAATATAATATTACAAGAGTGTCGCCGCCCGAAACGGATCACACCCTGTATGGCATTACTTTTTCGACAATATTATTTCGCTACGCGAGCGCCGCTTAGTTTTTTTTTTGTTTTACGGCGGTTCCCCTCGCCCGCCCTCCCACCGACCCGGCAACCCACCGCAGCGCACGCTCGCACGCACTTATTGTGTTCCGTCCGTTTTCCCTCTCGCTCACTTTTGCAGCACGCGCGTTATGCTGTTTTTTTTTCGATTCCAATTTTTTTTTTTTACGACACACACGCATAATATACGATTGTAATAATAATATTATAACGTTGTGCTCGGCGTCGGCCGAGTCGTCTGCGTCGAAGGCCATCGTCGGCGGCGACGGCGGCGAATCGCTCGCGCCCGCACGCACAAGTCTCCGGCCGATCTCGTTTTGCCGCGCAAAATCCGCACGCACTTTACTACAACAATAATAATAATAATGATATTATAATATCATATTGTAATACAGGGCGATTAAAAACGAATGAGTTGCAGGTGGGTAGGTATAGCAAATTTCGAGTACGCACGGCGATAGAGCTTTGGTCGACTATTAGAGGTAGGACGTGTGTTTATTATATTAATCAATGACTTAATGACTTAACAAAGTTTTTTCCAGCTGCGGAAGACCGCGGCAATAATTATATATACCTACGTTCAACGTGACCCCCCGAGACTCTATACAATAATATCGTACCGACAGGGTAAACTTTTTTCGGGTCGCGTGCAGCCAACAGTCTCGTGACCTGCAGTGTTCGAAAAAAATCACTGCAATTTTTTTTAGTACCGATCTATAGGTTGTACGTATGGATGTTTCGATGAAACATTTGCAAGCGGCGCATATTATATTCGTCCAACACAATATTCCTCTGCAGTTATCCGCAGCGTATTTTGATTCGAATTAATTCAATACCAACTTTAAAAAACCTACAGCAGGCGTGTCAACGCGAATATTTAGTTTGTTTTTCAGGAATGACCCACATTTTTTCAAAGTAAAAAAAAAAAAATTGTTATGCCCTCCGGAAGCAGTGCAGATAGTTTTTGCATAATTTTTCATTGGTTCGTTGATTTTTATCGAAGAAATAATATATTAATTACTTAAATTCGAGATTATACCTAAACTATAATATAAATTAAATATGTAAAGGCACATGATAGTCGCGAAAATTTGGGCCAACTGCACTCTGCGTAGCATCTCGATTATCGGGTGTTTAACCTTTCAAATGGCCGCGGTTATTCGTGCTTTTAGCTAGGCAGAGGTGGGTCGCGGGGGGTATCGATCGGGGCTTCTTGGAGGCCAGTTGGAGGCCGCGGTGATGCGAAGAGCTCAGCTGCGTCACGATAGCTGTCGAACAGCCGAACCATCGTTGAGGTTATATAATATAACCTTTCGTTTTGCTGTAAATAGGCATCTGTGACGGGTGTCAGTGTCGTAGCTAGGGAAGTGGGCTTAACGGCTTAAGCTCCCCCCCTCCCCCCGAAATATTAAATTGAAAGTTGTATATTCGCCTACTGCACCGGCACGAATTGCGGGCTATAAAATATAGTATTTATAAGTCAAAAGAAATAGGAAAACCACTTTAAAAAACACAAGTCACTTGGCTTCTCTCCGTCTCATTAGTATAGGTAGTATAGCACGAAATGCGCTTCAGAGATCTCGATTTTCAAAAAATTTAAAATATCGTTGCTTGGCGTGAAAAACCTCCTACCTATGTGCAAAAAAATCGAAACAATTTTTTAATATAATAAACCTATACCCACTACATTTTTTTATACTGAGCGTTTATTTTTTAAACTGTCTACTACAACGTCCCTCTCGAAAAACAAGGTTTTGTTTCACATAGGAGAACGTTTTTTCGCCAAGCGACTATGTACATTCCATTTGAATCGACCTGTATTATAATATAATATTTTTTTATCCGCACTCCGCTTCCCCGTCCCCTGCCGCACTCGATCTAAAGATTATTATAATAATATTATCTTATCTACATATTATTATGATACATCATACATGCGATAATATCATAATAATAATATAACGTTTCATTAATATTATAATAATATTATCAATTATTATCATTCATCACACCATTGCAGTATATCACATATATGTAGCGAAATATGTAAGTCTTATTTTTTGTTTTTCATAATACAACCGCCTCCGCCTCCTGCGAATAATAATTATAAAATAGAGAACAGTTTATTGTATTTTTATCGGATATTATGTTACTACCGGAGCTACCCGTTGAATGCGTGTCGTTTGTATCGTTATCGTTTCCACGCATTTTTTATTTTTACACATATTCGCTATAGATTTCCGGACAGATTATGAAATCGTATTTTTTTTCCACATCTCGTGAAAACATTATTTTTTATAATGTTTTCGACCATTAAAAACAAAAACCGCCACGTACTACCCATCTAGGTACGATACTACGATATTAAAACCACAACATCATATTTTATTGATTTGTTTTGCAGCGGAACCGCCGCCCGGTTGCATTTCAGTCCGCATAATATGGACTGTTATTCATACCGACGGTCATCTGCAGTCGTACGAGCAGTACCTACGCCCAATTCGTATAGTGCGCACGAAAACGGGGACTGATTATATTATTATTATTATTATTACTATTACGTGTCACGTGTGTGTGCGATTACAATGTGAACGAACGCACATTACGTCGTTACGTACGTGTAGGTAGGTAGGACGTAGGTACATAATAATAATAATAAAATAATAATACGTCATGTGCAATGTGCTGTTATTATAATATTATGCGCGTATTATTATTACTATTATATATAGTAGGTAGATTGGTAGGTACGGTATACAACGAGTTTTGCGCGTCGTTCGGCCCGGTCATTGTCGCGTAGGTTTTATTTTTTTTTTATTATATTATTATTATTATTATTATTATTTTAAAGTGTAATTATTATTATAGTTTTTGCGCGGTGGCGCGAAAATTTCCATTGTCGCCGACGGGCTACATTATTAATTTCAAGCGAGATAACGTCATATAATTATTATAGTGTGAGGTCCGGAACAATGCGGAGCACATGATGTTATACCTATTGACAATATTATTACGACAGCAGCACATCACATCGCTTCGAAAACTATTTTTTAAATAGTAAAAAACTAACTCTTTTCTTAAAGCTCACTCGAATGATAATACTATTTGTATACTAGGTATTATCAAGAAAATTGAAGTAAAGGAAAAATTACAGAAGTGTTACTCTCTGCAGCTATCTCCCACGACTCTACGTGTAGTGATGTTTTTTCGTATATTTAATAAAAAAATCAACTTTTTTTAGCCATTTTATATTATTGATAACTTACTCATGTAGGTAGCTATAGAAAATAACACACACTTTTGCAGTGCGCGTATACGTTTGTATTCGTACAAGTCTGGTCGAGTAGGTATTGAAGATGAGTACCTATACAAATTTCGATTTTTAATTTTATCATGACACCTGTTCTGCACAATATTTCATGATAACAGCAGGAGTTCATATTATATTATTCAAGAGAAAAACGCTTAACTTTTATGATGGCCGTAACTAACCTGTACATATAGGATTTAGTTATTACAGGGGGCTCAAGTCTATTTGCAAAATCAAAGGCTTTATAAATAAGCTGTGGTAGGAAGGCTTAGCCCGCTTCCTTCTTCCCCTTCGTTAACATCAAAACTTTTTATCGGCTTGCAACCTTTTATATAATAACGAACAGCAAACATTACAATCATCATTTGTCCATATTTTACCGTAAAATTAGGAAAAATCAACGTTTTCCTTGCCATTATTATTATTATTATTATTATTATTACTATTGATAACTGAAATATGGAAAATAACAAGTACGGTTAAGTAGGTAGGTAGTGCAAATGAGTACCTACCTACAAGTTTAAATTAAAAATTTTATGATGACAACTGTTCTACACAATATTTCATGATAACAGAAGGAGTTAATTTTTTTAAGACAAAAACGCTAACTTTTACGATTTTTTCCTCATGATTACGAGCTCGTATGTATA